GCGCTGAGAAACTCCGCAGACAAGCAGCGCTCGGGCCACACCCACAGCCTACTTAGCGCTCCGCGAGAGCGGGAGCGGGGGTGGGAGTGGAGGTGGGGGCGGGGTGAGCTGGACGCACCCCATCCTCTGACCCGCCCTCGTGACTCCTGAGTCCCATCTGGTGCGGTCGCTGTCCCTCTCTCTCTCCCTCCGTCTCTCCGGGTCAGTGCCTCCCCTCCAGGCTGAGACAGCTGAGTTGTACGCGGACTAAGATGACCTACCAGCCCTGCTCTGTCCAGTACGGGTCCCGCCAGCCACAGGGGGCTGTTTCAATGGACAGGTTAATACAATACATTTAAAAATCACTTCCTCAGCCACACAGCCACAGTCCCAATGCCTCCTCGCCCAACGTGGCGAGCGGCCTCTGTGTGGGACCTTTTCCCACCGTAGAAAGGTCTGTTGGACAGCGCGTCCCACACACTCCGCTGTCTTGCTGTAAGACGGCTTCCTAAGGTCGTTCATGGAACCTGAGTTCTCTCTTTTTTTTCTGATTTTCCTCCTGTAAATTTAAAATAAAACTTTGATCCATGCTCATAACTTGAGAAATGTATTTTTGGTTTAACAATTGCCTGCCAGGGAGTAACATTTGAATGAAGGAGTGAATCCCAGGCCTGGTGTGGGGCAGGCCTGACCCAGGAAGGGCAGGCATAAGCCAGAGAGCGTGCGGGGGTGGGGGCGGGGGTGGAGGGGTGGGGAGGGGCGGCGAGGGGCAGAACCCGGGGGCTCCCCTGTCAGGCTTAACCAATGGCAGTGGCAGCGGAAGTGGGAGCCCGCAGAGACTCACAGGGAAGTTCAGAGAAAGCCTGGAGCAGTGGCCAGGGCGGAGAATTCTAGATTTCTAAGCTGTTTGTACCTTTAATTCTTGTGCCCCAGCCAGGCTGGAGTAAACCCGAGACACGGTGAAGACCATGGTATGGAGACAATCTTCGGGAAAACTCCCGACACAGGTTTATTATCCTTTCTGTTTCCCAATGAGAAAACGAAGGCACGGGCAGGATAAAGGGGACATAGAAAGCAGAGAAGGGGTCTAGGGCTTTACGCCCCAAAGGGCCTCGGGGTGTCCTGCCTAATTCAGAGACCAGGGCTTGGGAGGCCAAGGACCAGATTTCAAAGGGGTTTTTAAAAAGTCTTTTGTCAAAGAAACTCCAAGAGCTATTCCTCTGTGCAAATAACTCATTCCTGGTGGGAGTGCCTTTATTCCCGGGCGAGAATACTAGAGAAGAGGACGTTAACCAGCACTGCTGTCAGGGGGAACCTCAGTCCTCCACTTCCCAAGGTGAGAGGGAGCCCTACTGGAGGACTTCCAGGGGCTCCATGTCCTCTCACTGGCTCCTGCTTGTGGGTGGGTTACATTTTGGGATTGGGGAGATTAAAGAGAGATGGGTGTCTATGGGGCCATGTTTCTCAGGGGGTGGGGCTAATGTTCATTTAAGCCAAATATAAATTCCTCACTCCAGCCCCCACTGTGCCCGTCCTCCCACCACTGTCCCTGGTGCACTGCTGTGGCTGGTCTTTCTGTGAACACGCCAACCTCCGGTGCCTCAGGGCCTTTGTTCCTGCTCTACGCTCTGCTCAGGTTGCTCTTCCCCTAGTCCAGTGGTCGGCAAACTGTGGCTTGCGAGCCACA